ACACACACACACACACACACACACACCGCTCCCCCCCCAGCCTCCCTTCCGGCTGCAACTCAAGCTCGAAGTGGGAGTCGGAGTCCTCCCGGCGTATAAGACGACCCCCCCACTTGGAGGCATGTTTTTCAGGGCAAAAAAGTCGTCTTATACGCCGGCAAATACGGTACATTAAAACATAAATAAATTTAAAACCAAATATTAAAATCTAAAATGTTTAATTCATTTTTAAAATGTCATCAAATGATTTTTGACTTAATAACTTTTAAAAATATAATTCTTGACAGTAAGTTGCATTGAAATTTAAAAATAACAATTAGTGGTTCCTTTATTGAGCTGAACACAGACAAAGCTTCCTTGAACTGATCTAAAGATAGGATGCCATAAAACTTGTTGAATATAGATAATTACTTTTTAAAACTCTCTATATAAAGTTTTTTCCTGGTGGTTAATTAAATCAATAAACTTATTCGATGATATAATTAAATATATTTGAAAATATTAATGTTTTTATTTTATTGTATTATTTTTGTAATGGTGCTGCATTTGTTTAGTTATTCTACTGTAGAGATCTTTATGTAAAATAATTTGAGTCCAGTGAGTGTTTTTTTATTTCATCTGTAATCTTTCAGGATTCTGAATGCTTAAGAAATGGCATAAATTAATTCTTCCTACCTCTAATTGGGACACTCAGATGAGAAAAGGTTCATTTCATAAATAGCTTATTCACTGTTGCAAAATCACTACACTCCTTTTCTTCTTTGTACTCTAAAAGAATGAATGATTAGATTTCACTGATGCTTTGTTTCCAGAGTACATGAGAACATACAGCAATTATTTACTGTTGTTCTGTATTTCTATACTGCTTCTTTCTACAAAAAGAAATCCTCAGGTAGTTTACAGTATTTGGTTCTGATAAATGAAAGAAATATAAAGAATTTTGAATCAGACTTTTCTTGCTTTTTCCTAGTAATGTTGGACTTCAGGTCTCAGTTACATATCGGCTAGAAAGGATTGGGAACTGAAGTTTAAATTGTTTGGAGGCATTAGGTTAAGAAAAGTTGAAATAATCTTTGTTTATGCAGTTAAGTAATATGTGAAGATTTAACATCTGTTTAAACATCTGTCTTCTCCAGCTGACCGACTGACAACAGATGACCTGAACTCTCTCATTGCTCATGCTCATCGCCGCATAGACCAGCTGAATAAGGAGCTGATAGATATGAAAGTCCGAGAAGAACAACATATTAAGACAGCTTTAGAAAAGCAAAAACTGGAAGAGAAAAAAGCTTTTGAGTCAGCAGTAGCAAAGGCATTGGAACGTCATAAGAATGAAATCCAAACTGAACAGGAGAAGAAGGTAACTAATGAGTGCTTAATTTTCTGTCATACTTTTAAGTTGTCCATGCACTGTTGGCCAGCAATTGGGGCAAGGATTCTTATTTAATGCTTATTTGCTTAATACAATAAGACTGTATTCTAGACAATGGTGATTTAGTTATGATAGCTTTGAGTATAAATTTTCAAGTAGACTACAGTATTTGCACTATTTGGAATGTACCTTTACCACAAAGTTCAGCTTCTAGTATATATTGCCAAATCAGTGCATATTAGTGGGATTAACTGGAGTATAATGTCTGACAAACCTGAGATAGAATAAGCACTGTGTTACAGATCACTCAGAAAAAAAGTGAACCCACTCATTCCCGTGAGGCAGTTGAAAGGAAAAGAGTTGGATGGTTTCTTAAAAATAAAAAGTTAGTTACACAACTTGTCAAACACATTCAAAAGCAAGTGGACAGCAGCCATATAAGTTTCCTTTGCATGATGTTTGCTCTTCTAAAATTGGGAGATCTTGTAGGAATTAACCCCTAAAATCAAGATTGACAGAATCAAGAAAGTTACTTTTCTCTTAAAAGCTTCTTTGCTCTTAGTGCAGTGGCTTGTCCTCCTAAACATGTGAAGAGTTTGATTATATATATATATATATACCTTGCTTTAAACCTTGCTTTATATTTAAGTAATCATTTTGTTTTCATAAACCTTAGCTTCTTACCTAGGTCATCTTCAAGCAGCAGCCACCATTAAATGATCTCACACATTTTCATGGAGAGAGAATAATAACAATGACAAAACTTTCCATCTGTTAATTACAAAAGGCCACACTGCTTGAATCTGCATATATAGCACATTACATTACGTCCTAGGTTCTTGGGAAGAACTCATTACGTATGAAGGCCAATACCAGTGAAAGAACTGGCAAATAAGTTTTAATATGTTTATGTATATAATATTACTAATGGAAGATGATGGCAAGAAAGTGATGGGCAACAAAGAGAAAGCAGAGCAGCTTAGCTCATTCTTTGCATCAGTCTCCATGCAAAAAGAAAAATTAGTCCAATCTACCAAAAACAAAACTGTAAAAGACAGGCTAGGAATACAAATTAAGATAAGCAAAAAAAAAAAAAAAAAAATTGGTAAGAGAACACCTGTCCATTCTAGATGAGTTCAAATCCCAGGACTTGATGGTTTACATTCCAGAGTTGTGAAGGAGCTAGCTGGCAGAAATTATCTTGGAATCCTTGAAACATATCTTTAAAGATTCTGGAGCAATAGGGAACTACTAGAGCGGCGGTCGCCAACCGGTGGGCCGTGGCCCACTGGTGGGCTATGAGAAAATTTTGGTGGGCCGCAGAGAAATCTCACCCCCAGAACACCCCCCCCCAAAGCAATTAATCCAGGCTGCGCAGAAACACAAGTCTGCACCGCCCACATGGCCTGCAGGAACCCTCCCCGTCCACTCACTCTTTACCCAGCAAACTTGCCTGCCAAATTGCTATTTTTCCTTTTTCCGACCATCATCTGTTCTGCTTTGCTGGGAGATTAGCTAGAAAGCAGAAAATGGTTGGATTTCTTGCTTTCTAGCTAGTCTTTAGATCTTCGGCTCTGCTTTTAAGCACAGCCGAACCTCCCTTAGGACTGAAGGTTTTATTATTCAGTGCAGATTCACAGCAAGCAAATTTGAGAGACTGAGCTAGCTGATGGCAGATAGATAGATCACTGAATGCTTCTGTGAGCAACTCAATCTGCCTGCCTGCTTTGCCTGATTTTGGGTAAAAGTTGCTCTTTTTTAATAACAAAATTCAATATTATATAAATATTTATAATATTTACATACAAGCCATGCCCAGCCAGTCACATGACCACCAAGCTACACCCACAAATTAGGCCACGCCCACAGAATCGGTTAGTGTTCCCTTAGATTTAAAATTATGAGTTTGGTGGTCCCTGAGGTCCTGTACTAGAGTACTGGAAAAGAGCTGATATGGTTTCTATCTTCAAAAAAAAAAAAAAAAAAAGGTGAAGGGGGGGGAGATTTTCCAGCTCCTGGAAAAGATAATTTAAAAAACACCCAGATCTGCAAACAAGTAGAAGCAAGCAAAGTTATGACCAGAAGCCAACTTATCAAAACAGATCATGCCAGACAAATTTATTTCATTCTTTGGCAAAGTGACTAAATTAGTGGACCAACAAAATGCTGTGGACATAGAATACTTGGATTTCAGAAAGGCATTTGATATAGACCGCAACCTGCTTCTTGGTAAGTTAGAAAAACATGGGATAGACAGCATGGTCAGCAGATGGATTTGTAACTAGTTGACAAATCACACTCAACATACAGTCCTTAATGGAACTATAGCTACATACAAAGAAGTAAGCAGTGGGATACCCCAAGATTCTGTTTTAGGCCCAGTATTCTTCAATATTGTCATAAACTATATAAATGAGAGAATAGAAGAGAACTCATCAAATTTGCAGACAATACTAAGATGGCAGGAATAGCCATCACCCCAGAAGATAGGCTCAAGATCCAGAGGGATCTTGACAGATGTGAACACCAGGCCCTATCTAACAAAATGAAATTCAATGTGGAGAAATCAACACTATATGTATACATTATGTGAAACTTGGCTTAATAGCAGTAACTGAGAGACGATCTTGGATTCCTAGTGGACAGTCACTTAAATATGAGCCAGCAGTGTGCAGCAGCAGCCAAAAAGGCTAATTCAATCCTAGGCTGCATTAACAGAGGGATAGAATCAAGCTCACACCAAGTGTTAGTACTACTTTACAAGGCCTTGGTAAGGCCACACTTGGAATACTGTATCCAATTTTGGTCATCACCGTGTAAAAAAGATGTTGAGACTCTGGAAAGAGTGCAGAGAACAGCAACAAAGAAAATTAGCGGGCTGGAGGCTAAAACACGTAGAATGGTTACTGGCATTGAGTATGTAATAAAAAGGACTTGGGCAGTGGTGGCTAACCTTTTTGAGCTCCTGTGCCAAAAATTGTGTGCGCGCTCACATGCCAACATCCAGAAGGCAATGCGCAACCCCCCCACGCCCCCTGCGCATGCACGCGCGATCCCCCCCCCGTGCCACCCCCTTACCTGCACTGCACCTCCCAGCTGATTGTTGGTCTGTTTGAGGCCTTTTTCGTCCTCCCAGAGGCTTGATAAAAGTTTCTGCAGCCCAAAAAATAGGCCCGTTTTGTCATTTCCGGTATTTTCGGAAATACAGGAAGTGACAAATGGCCCTATTTTGGGGGCTGCAGAGGCTTTCCTCAAGCCTGTGGGATGCCGAAAATCAGCTGTGAGGCGCGTGCATGCGCAGTGAGGCAAGTTTGCCTGCGGCTCGCATGCCGGCACAAATGGCTCTGTGTGCCACCTGTGGCACGCATGCCATAGGTTCGCCATCATGGGACTTAGGGCGACATGATAACACTGTTACAATATTTCATGCCATAAATAAGAGGGGGGTCAACTTATTTTTCAAAGCACCTGAAGGTAGGACAAGAAGCAATAGATAGAAACTAATGAAGGAGAGAAGCAACCTAGAACTAAGGAGAAATTTCCTGACAGTTAGAACAATCAATTAGTGGAACAGCTTGCCTTCCGAAGTTGTGAATGCTCCATTACTTGATGCATTTTAAGAGACTGGACAGCCCTTTGTCTGAAATGGTATTGGGTTTCCTGCTTGAGCAGGGGGTTGGACCAGAAGACCTCCAAAGGTCCCTTCCAACTCTGATGTTCTATGTACTAGTCTGTTTAAGGAATAAGAGGTGTCCGGAGCTACTCCGAAAAATACCTCAAAACAAGAAATCTAAGAAGTACTTTTACACTTTGGCTTCATCCAAATAGAAGACTGATGTGTTTTCAGATGAGTGAATGGAAGTAGATTTGTCTCCCAATGATAGGCTTAACAATGAGTATTTGTAGTGCACCCTAGTCTCTTGTTCAATGTCTATTGTGGCACTTGCCCCAGTGAAAAATGTATCTTTGGACTATGTATTCCATTCTCAACACTAAGTTTTACATTATGATTTCAGACCTTGTGCTGAAATACTATTTAAAGGCTTTTTGCTTCTTCTCGTTCCTGGTGTTTTTTGTTTTGTTGTTTTGCAAATTTTACTTAATGAATTCTGGAAAATAGAGAATTGCTTTGTGCCCTTTTAATTTACCTAATAAAAAATATGATTAAACCAAAGATGTAGTTTACAGATTCACAGGTAATTTTTGAAGAGGCAAATACCAGTGATTTTTCTAATAGGTTGAAGAAGCTCAAGAAGTTATGGAAAGTGAAATGCGAACTCAGTTACGCCGACAAGCTGCTGCACATGCTGATCACCTAAGAGATGTTCTCAGAATTCAGGAACAAGAACTGAAACAACAATTTGACCAGGTGGGGAGTTTGCTTTATTATAGTGAAAGGTCCTTTAAGGTGCTTCTGTCAGAAATTTTTCTTATTATCCAATAAGAAAATACTAAGGCTGCAGAAAACATTTGAAGGAATACTTTGTAAGAAAGGATGGCTTCTTTTAGGTCTTTCTCTGCTTTGATTTAGTAGCAGTTCAGGAAGAAATCCTGAAATACCAGTTTGTAAGAACATCTTGAAAACCCCTGAAATAAGCATGCTGGGTCTTTGAAAGATACAGCTACATGTTTTCTCCAATTTTTTTACAGAAAAAAAAATGTGAAGGCACTTCTTCCAGGATTCTCAGATACTTTCTAATCCATTGTAAAGTTTAAATGCTTTGCATAATCGAAGTAAACATCAACAATCTCCTTTGAAGTCACTTGTATTGCAAGTATTCTTTAAAATTGAGGAATTGCAAAATGTTCTGTGCACAGTTCAATCTATGTATGGAACAGCAAGTTTTGAGTGATGTGTATCCATAATGAAAGAAACCTGCTTTCCCTTGTCATGGACATGAAGCATGTTTGGTCTTGGCATGGATCCAAATATGAGTAAAGGTATTTTGAGAGCTGGGGAAAGACACCAACAGCAGCAGAAAAATGGGCACAAGGGAAAGGAGGAGACCAAGATGATTATGAGAAAACTTGATTCCATTGGATTTGAATACTACAGTGGCAGTGTCTAAAGGGAGATAAGAAAAACAAACTGCTGGGAAGAAGTGGAGAAAAACAGATCAGCTGGGGGCCCGCTGTGCTTGAATTCAAGCATAGCATCTAAAACAGGGGTGGGATTCTACCGGTTCTGTCCACCTCTGTAGAACCGGTAATTCTGAAGAGCAGCAGGCAGAGAACATACATAGAACCAGTTCTATGTCTGCTGCTGTTTTGGCCCACCCACCTGCCCGGGCCCTTACCTGACCTTTATTTCCTGCTTTTTCAACCCCAGCTGCTTTGTGTGACACAGCTGCAGTTGAAAAAGCAGGAAAAAAGAGCTTGTTCAACCACTGTGCACTTGCGCGCAGCGCTGCTCAGCTGTCCAGACAGCTAGCTGACGATGATATACACGCGTGCAATATACACGTAAAATCACCGAACCGGTAGTTACACCAGTTGGACCCCACCCCTGATCTAAAAGGATACTAAAAGGAAAGCATTGGGAAAATCGGACGATAGTATGGCCTACAGCCATGCAAAGGAAGTGGAGATAGAAATAAAAGGTAAATATTTCCCTTGCCAGTTGTGTACATTTGCTGATTCATGTATGCCTCTACTCAGATGTATATTCATTCATCTGTTGACTTCTTTGAATTTCCTTTATCAAGTTCATGATGAAATTCTAAATATCCAGAGTACAGATATATTCCTGGATGGTAAATGTGGAACAAATGAAAAGTGGCAGGTAATCTATGGAGTAAACCTTTTTAAAATCTTTTGGTAGAATATGATCTTTCATAATTGTTTTTAACAACTTCGCCCCTCATAATGTGGACACTTTTTCACCATGTTTTTTCTTTCTTTTAGAATTTATCTGAAAAACTTACTGAACAAGAACTTCAACATAAACGTCTTCATCAGGAACAGATTGACAACTTTACTCTGGATATCAATACAGCCTATGCCAGACTGAGGGGAATCGAACAGGCAGTTGAAAGTGAGTGCGGCATGTAATATTGTAACAGGAATATGCTAACTTTAGTAAAATCTGGGTGGCTTGTTTATTTATCTGCTTGTTTTGCAGATGGTAATTCCATTCTAGCAATCCAGTTCTGTACCAGAAAGTTTATTCTGAGTTAGAATAGGTAAAATAATCTAATATTTATAAACGTACTGGATTTCTGTATTGCTCTTTCATTTCTAATGAGAAACTTTCACTCAGTGAAAGAATTAAATTGTACAGTATGCTAAATCAGTACAGGTAATCTGTGATTTACAATTTGGTAATTTCTGTTGCTAAGCATGGTGTTCATTATTTTCCTTTTGCATTGACATGAAGTGAACCACACCTGTTAAGCAAATACAGCTTTGTCAGAAGTTGGCTGAAAGTCATAAATGGCAATCACATGACTGCAGGACACTCCCACCAACATGCTTGTTGCTGTCAGGCCAGATGTTACTTAACACCTCACCTAATGTTAAGACATCTGGTTATAAAGCAGGGCACTTGGAAGTTCTAGTTCCGCCCGCTTCAGCCATGAAAGCCAGCTAGGTGATCTACCAGTCACTCTCAGCCTAATTCCCTTCAAAGGGCTGTTGTGAGAAAAATAAGAGGAAGCAATATTGCCAGTTGTTTATAAAAAAAAATGAACACAGAATATAAATAAAATAAAAATGAAACAAATACATGCCAATTTTCAAGCACCCGGATTTTTATTTTTACTTTAAAAATTAAAAAATTGTACATTTTTTATTTTAAATTTAAAAAGCATTTTAAACTTAGTTGCAAAATCAGAATGAAAAATGACTTGTCCATAGTGTGATCTAATACTTTGTAAGCTAGTTTAGTGGAAGAGCCATATTGCAATTGAAAAGCAGCAAGTATTTCAACTGGATTTGATCATTATTCTAAAATGTAGCTTTTGAATATTTTTGCAGTAAATTCAAGTTGGTTGTATTTGCATAACATATTCAGTCAAGGGTGTACAACTTCCATTGGCTCATCAATTGTTGTAAAACTTCCTTCATGTCCATGGTGCTTTTATTATTTTATAGTTTATTTCACCCATGAAATGTAAATCAAATAATTCAAATACATTATTACAGTAGCTTTTTACAAAAAAGCACTAAACTGTCACCAATTCTTTTATCTACATCCATAGTCAGTGGGCTACCAGAACAACAGAGAGCCAACACAACCCCCCTTGGCCTTTAGGCAACCCATACGAAACACACAAGTAGTACTCACAGTTGCTTTTTATACACTTCCTGAGGTCTACTCCTACTTCTGGTAGTAGACTACTAGACCACCTCCTTTCTCACTCCCGGAATAACTCTCACTTCCACCACTGTCGCCACCTGCTTTCCTGATGTTCCTCCTTGCTGGACAGCTGGGCTGGTTAGGGAGGGATCTTAAAGGGGCAGAACAGCATCAGCCCAGTCATTAGGCTGGCCTCTCAAAAACTATTTTACAATAATGAAAGAAAATAAATTACTTCTGTCATTCTTCATGTCAGTGGCTTAGCTTTACTGCAAGGTGCTATGAACAGCATTATAATTTTGGTTGCATCTTTGATTTAAAATGTGTTCAAGCTATAAGTGAAAATGTTGATGCATTCTAGAGTTTATTTTCCCTCCATTAAATGTATGGGATTTTATATTACAGGCCAAGTGGTTGCTGCAGAAGAAGCCAGGAAAGCCCATCAGTTGTGGCTTTCAGTTGAAGCTTTAAAGCAAAGTATGGAAACTGCTGCTGGGGATAGTCCCACAGAACCTTTGGAGGAAGCAGTACAGTCCATCCAACTCAGCTGTCCTGATGATGAATTCACCCAAGCCTTAACAGCTGCCCTTCCTCAAAAATCACTCAGTCGTGGGGTATACACGGAAGAGGCACTAAGGGCACGCTTTCACACAGTCCAGAAGCTGGCTAAAAGAGTGGCACTGATAGATGAAACAAGAAACAGCTTGTATCAATATTTTCTGTCTTATCTGCAGTCCCTTCTCTTGTTTTATCCTCAGCAGCTGAAGCCACCAACTGAGCTTGGTCCCGAAGACCTGGACACATTTAAGTTGTTCTCTTATGCATCCTACTGCATTGAACACGGAGACTTAGAATTGGCAGCTAAATTCATCAATCAACTTAAAGGAGAACCCAGAAGGGTGGCCCAGGACTGGCTGAATGAAGCTCGGATGACCTTGGAGGCAAAACAAGTGGTGGATATCCTGACTACTTATGCTAGTGCTGTGGGCTTGGGAACAACTCAGGTGGACTAATATAAGCCAGATACGCAGGACATTAGTCAACCAACATTCAAGATTTGCAATAGTACTGGGAATTGGTGGGAGACCTAACTTGGTTCTAAACCATGCAAGCAACTCAGTGTCATTGGGGGGGGGGGGGAAGTTCCATCTCCTAGTACTCTTATAAATCTTAGCACCTGTTGCATTTGCATTTTTTTCCTTCAGCCATTTATCATGTCTGGAATGTGTTTTGTTTTTGTTTTAATCTATATAACACAGTTTCCAGGTATTACTGATTGAGCTTGTGAACCCACCAAAATAATGTTTATAACCTCTTACTGATTTGCCATTTGGCTCAATTAAATAAATGATATTTAAACAATTTATTTTTCACTACTGCTTGGATAAGGTAGATTTTAAAAAACCAGAATCAAATTATGTCAGCAGCAGATGAAAAATGCATAAACGATCTGTCAGTTTCCCTTTTATCTGTTTCCAAAGTGGAAATATAAATATTTCCTATTTTGTATTGACAGATTTTCAATGTTCATAGTGTGTTTTTAGCAATGGTACATTTATACATTTTTCTTTATGGAAACTTTGATACAAAAATTTCTCCTAAGAAAATTCTGCATAAGCCCTGAAAGCTATTTACCCATGCATTCAAGACACCACCATTATTTTTTTCCCCTCCAGTATGAAAAGCAATTGAGTTTTTCCATTTATTCCTATGTTGAAAAATATATATAATATCCTTCTATTGACAGCAAATGCTGCCATCAGCTGAGTGGGTCTACTCTATAAGGTAGACTACATTATCTTGAAGTAAGTTGAGACAGCATCTATGAGAATTCCATGGCTCTGAAGAAATGTTACTATTTCTGTTTACATGTGTGGTGTGGCTTCCAGTATCTGACAGTAAGAAAAAGGGCTGTGCAAATTTCAGAATATGTAAAGAAATGCTTGAAAGAACAGGGAGTCTGATTTCTACCCTATACTGTCAGACCTCCTCTCTTCCATCTATCTTTAGCTTCTGAAATATTTGCAAAGGGCAGGAAACTTCTTGCAATGTCTCTATTTTGCAGCGTTCAGCCATACTTTCATCCGCACTTCTGGCAATCTTTGGATTTGCTGTGGAACATTTCAAGAGTAATTATCAGACTAATAATTTATATTAATACAACATCACCCAACTCTTCCCAAAATCACCAATATTTCTCTTGACTAAATTAGTGGTTAAGGTATGCTAGAAACTGGAAGAGCTGAGTTCTAGAGCTGCCTTAGTCACAAAGCCAGATGGGTGACCTTGAGCCAGTCACACTCTTAGCCTTAGGAAAGAAAGCAATGACCAAACCACTTTGAAAAATTTTTTGCCAAGAAAACTGCAGAGGCACTCACCAGGAGTCAAGATTCACTCAAAGGCACATACAAGCAACAACTTATAAATCTTCAGTAACCAATACTGCCCAGTTGCATGAGGTTTATGCTGCTACCTGATGTTGAATCTGGATGGCTTATGGCAATAAAAACAATACAAAATTATAAAACAGAAAACAGACCAAAATATTGAAAGAAGGCCAATTCAATTTTAGGACATGCTCACCACCCTAATCAAGGCCTGGAAGAACCATTTTAAACACTTTTTAAATGACGGTAAACAGTCGTGTGTATCTGGAAAAATATTCCAGAGGGAAAGTGGTCTGACAGATGTCCCACTTCCTAGGTTTGATCATATGACAATGTTTGACCAATGGCATATGCAGTGAGTCAACTCTGGATGGGAAAATTATTGAAAATAAACAATCCCTCAAGCAGCCAGGCCTATGCCAGGAAAGGATTTATGTCATAAACAGCTTCTTCCATTATACCCAGAAGCTAAATGGCAATTAGTGCAACTTATTAGGTGATGAATGTAGCATGCTATGGTACCTCTATTAATGCTCATATTGCTGTATACTGGACTAAATGAAGCTTCTCGAAGTGTCTCAAAGGCGCTTTTTTCTTCAAAAGGCAACTGGACTTTTTTCCCCCTTGAAAACGTTTAGCTTCTTATCCAAGAAGCTTCATCACTTCTGAAGGTGGGGAATGGAAGAACAGGTATAGGTGTGTGTGTGTG